AAAAACCCGCGTATAAGAACCTAGATTTTTCCAAGTTAGCCTCAATAGGTTCTTATATAAATGGTGCTTACTGAAAAATTAGGCTCAAAAGGTTCTTAAATAGGTTCTTGTTTCTACTTTTAATATGTATAAGCTTATACTTGATTCAAATTGTGTTAACATTTTCTTACACGGACTGCAATTTTTGCTAATTAATACCCATGATGGGCTACAGTGTAAGTTTTTCAGTGCTTACCATACTGTATGATACAGTATGTATCCAAGGAAACAAAACAACATGCAAAAAGATGCGTGCCAAAAAGCTATAGATACAGCCAAGAGCAAAATGTATACAAGTCTACCAAATTTAATAAATCGCTACAATGCTGGCCAAGGGAAGGGCCTTGAGATCCCTGTTGACTATAGGTTGGTTAGAGATAGGGGTTACTTGAAGAGGTTCACAAGGAAACTTCAAAGGAATTTGCTGAAGAACTCAGTATTAGTGACATTAGAAAGTGCTAACCAGCATTCAACACAGCTCTGTGATTGTTTTTATTCAACAAAACAATACATCTGCTGGTCTATTGGATTCTGAATGGACATACAGTACTGCAGGCATCAAATTTGGCAATTTGTCTCTGACAGCAAGTAGCAACACTCTGACAGCAGGTCTAGAAAACCGAACGCGTCGATTTTCTGTGAAAAATCATAAGTTATACGGCTAAAAGATACTGATATTGATTAACATATATACAATTATTTCTTTATTATGGTATAAAATGTGAATAAAACCAAGATGGTACAATTAATATTAAAGTTGTTTTCAATTTAAAATATTTACATGTAATAAAATACAAAAAGTCCAGACACAGTGCAGCAGTGAGACACATTGTTAGATTATTTAATATGCCGAGCCGGTTTAGAGTTAGTGTTAGTGTTAGAGTTAGTGTTAGTGTTAGAGTTAGTGTTAGTGTTAGGGTGACTGTTTGTACTTGCGTGTATATTTGGATTAACCACGTCATTAAATTATACATCTGACAGCATTTAGGTACTAAGTGCTACGACGGCATTTACTTGCCGCCGATACAAACTACCTCTGACGGCAAATCAATATGTTCCGGCGGCAAATGCCGTCAGTTGCCGTCGTAAAATTCGATCCCTAACTGTAATGTGGAAACATATACATCTGCTTATTTCTCATGAGCTGACAAGAACTATGTTTCACTGAAGAGACGCTTGTATCCTTGTTTGATAATATTTTACATTTGCAGATATATGTAAATAATGCAGTACTGTGTGTCATAATGATTAATGACGGTAGCGCCCTGTAGGAGAGTTGTCTATCCTTTAGTTAGATATTTGAGAGCCAGGGGGAGCTACGAGAGTTCGGCATGGCGGTTTGTAATCTCGTGTTCTGCTCAGCTGCTACGTTTCCTAAATAAAACGAATCTACATGAAGTTAAATCTCTTGTTTGGGTTTACACAATCATGACACTGTGTCTCAATAACAATGACTCATGCCACATTCATCGATATTGTTGAGCGCATCTTTTTTATTTTACCTGTGTTTCTTTTTAAGTCTTCATCTGGCATGGAAAATTAAGAACCTACTTTAAAATCTTAGCCTAAAACAGGTTCTTATGTAAAGGGTCTAAATGAGAAATTTTAGCCTAACAGGTTCTTAAAATCTAGGTTCTTATACGTGGGTTTTTACTGTATGCAGAATATCTGCCCTTGGAATATCGGTCCTATGTAGAATATCTTATCTATATAGAATATCTGTTCTATACAGAATATCTGTCCTATACAGAATATCTGTCCTATTATACAGAATACCTGTTTTATGCAGAATATCTGCTTCTATACAGATATCTGCCCTATGCAGAATATCTTGCGTCTATACAGATATCTGCCCTATGCAGAATTATTATCTGCGTCTATACAGATATCT